AAATGCTGAGCATTTTCTTCCCTTTTGATTTTCTAACACCAGGTGTCTGCACATTTCATTATACTTAACTGTCTTTTCAAGCTGCAATTTGAAATTTTCTGTTAATCTCTTTGACTTCTGCATCTCTTCCATTCATTTTAGCATGTCTTTGCTGGAAAGCAAGTTTGAGAGTCTTTTCAGACATCCATTTTGGTGGGGTTTTCTTTCCAGTCCTTTTAATGACCTTTCTGCTTTCTTCCTGTATGATGATCTTGATGTCATCCCACAGCTCTTCTGGTCTTCAGTCATCAGTGTCTAATCCATCAAAGTCCGTTCTTGAGATGGTCTCTATATTCAGCTGGAATATATTCAAGGCCATTATTGGCTCTTGTGGACTTGCTTTAATTTTCTTACAAATTTACAGCCTTGGAAACCCTATGCCGTTCTTCTCTGCCCTCCAGGGTCACTATGAGTTGGAATCAACTGAAGAGAAATGGTTTGGTATTTTCTTATGTTAAAGTAGCCATTTTACTCTCGCATAGTCCCTTGCTTTCAACTACAGAATCTCCATCCCCACTGCAGTTTCAATTTTGACTTATTACAAATAATATATATACTAAAACTGATTTTAACAGGAGCAACTGGGGTAGGCAAACTGGTATTACTTTAATGCTCTTTCAACTCATCATCCCTACCGTTAACTTCAAACTCACATCCCTCAGGTCCAAATGTATTTCCTTGTATTCATTTCACTTGGCTAAAAATCACACTGTGCTCAATGCCTTAATAGATCCCGGAAAGAAATTGTAAATAAAAAACAAACAAAGGTGATTTGTTCTCATGTTTGCATCTTTACAAATGCCATTTTGTTTTCATGACTGAGTTTTCATCTATTCCTGTCTCAACAATGTATGAAATGGAAAGGCTTCGTGACACTTTATTTCAATGATTCAACTCACTGCAGCTCATTAGGTAAGTTCTACTTTACTTTGCGTCACCACCTACAAACATAGGAAGACAGGAGTCACATACATGTGTAATTGTTGCTACTGTTCAGTATTGTCGAATCGGTGCCAACTCAAGAGTGACCTTGCATGGTGTTTCTGACAAGTGATTGGTGGGATTGAAGTTCCGACCTCACAGTTAGCAGTCCAGTGCTTATCCTACAGCACCACACCAGGACTCCTATGTGCTACTGCTGTTGTTATTGTTAAGTGCCGTCAAGTCAGTTCCAACTCATAGCAACCCTGTGTAGGGCTTTCGAGGAGCAGCTGGTGAATAGAAACCGTGGAGCTTGTTGTTCAAACTGACCTTGCAGGTCGAGTGCTTACCCTACAACACCATGTTAGGAATCTCTAGAGCTTCCAAAATACCGGGATCAAAGCACTAAAGGCGGAGTTGGTAGGTGAGGAGAGTGGTAGGACGGACAAAGTACCAAAGAACCAAGACTGCGTACACTTCTGCCCTGACTTGAATCCCTCTCTAATAGTGGGAGGTCAAGAGGTGTAGAAGCCTAGTAACAGACAACAAACATCTATCTTCGCAGAAAAGATCTGGTATTTTTTTTTTTAATGAAGTCATTTTATTTCAAGTTTTTCCCCAAGTGAACTTACTTACATTTTTCAGTTTATAAAACTTTTAAGGTATTTTACTAACACCTTACTTGCAAAAGTTTAAGTAAATCAACTTTAATTCAATTCATTTTGTATCACAGTTAATAATCTTTTAAAACACTATATGGTTTGGATTTATCCATAACTGACCCACCACCACTACCACCAACACCCTTTCTTCACACTCCACATAAAGAGTTGACTGAGTTCCAACTAAAATTTCTATTTCTGAAGATTTCATAGTTAAAGGATTAATAATAACCAGACATAATAATCTACTCCTAAAAATAAAGCAAATTTTGTAAAATGCATGACACCAGATTATAAAGAAATAAGGAGCTTATTTTTTGACTGACAACAAGCAATATTAACACATTTATATAATTTGCAACATAAAAATACCCCAGTAAATTAGAGAAGTTGCATTTCTAAGATTCAAAGAACTTTTGATAATGAAAAACACAGTGATAGATAATTACCACTTCACTTTTGCTAACAAAGAGTAGGGAAAACAAATTTAACGATGTAGAATGTCCTAGTTTATGAAGAGTCTACAAGAGGCTGTAAAAAGAAGAATGGACAGTAAGGAAAAGAAACATGACTAAATCTACATCAGTAATTTCTCTCTTGAACTACCTGCATTTATGGATTCTCATCACCCATGGTATCTCACCTTAAGAGAACACAATGGCAAGACACAAGCCCAGTTGCTATGTTGTCAAGAACCGCACTGCAATGGCACTCTGAGTGTTAGACGAAACTTGGCAAAAACATGGCTCCGTCGCTTCCTATCGCACAGCTCTCTTTGATGAGGGAGAACATAGACTGCCCTATCTCCCTGCTTCCTCTCTGGACAGTCTCCTAGCCAGCCAGAATACTATATTTAAAATGAATCTGACTTATGACTCTTCTTTACTTAAAACCCTCCAATGATTCACCGTCACAAAATCACATTCTGGTACCAGTCTGCATGCCCCATCATAGCCAGTGTGAATCCTGACTACCTCTGTATCTCCTGTCATTTCCCACTCCCCACCTCACATTATAAGCACACATTACTTTGCTGCCTCCAATCTGACTCTATCTCCACATCTCAATACTACAATATCACTGCTGATGAAACAGATTCCCTTGGACTAAATTTCTCTTTCACAATGATCAGGAAGACTTAACTCAGGCACCAAACTTGGTCAAGAAGGAAACTGAACACCAGCCAACAAAGTAAGCATAGTTCCTTTCCTCTGGGCATAGTCACCTGTATGTACCTTTTTCATTAACACCTACTACACCTTATGAAATTATCATTTGTTTTTGTTTCTCATCCTCATGTCAGAACACAAACAAGAGCACAGGTTACCTACTGACTTCAGTGAGGACGAATATATCAAGTAGGTTTGCTGTTCGTTCTTTGTTGTTAGGTGATGCTGAGTGACTTCCAACTCAGGACAACCCTGTAGAGGGTTTCCAAAGTTTTAGAGGAACAGAAAGCCTCATCTTTTTCCCAAGCAGTGACTGGTGGGTTAAGCATTTAATAAATGTCTGATGAACGAAAAATGCCTATCATGACATTAAGGAGAGCCAGCAAACAGTTTGAATTATCATTAGCCAATTCATCATCAAGTTGTCAGTTCAACTTCTATAACACATGTTGAATCCATCCACTTGAATGATTAGCCCAGCCACCACCACACCCCCAGTACAGCTCCCAACACTCTCTCAGACCTCCCTAACTAATTTACCTCCTTCTAGGACTACCAACCCCTCCCCTATTACACACAACATTCTCTCCCCACTGTTTGAATCAAGCAGGCACAGTGATCTTTGAAAATTATACATCGGTGACAATACAACTCCATTTCAAAATTCTACTAATTGCCATTAATTATATTTTAATGAAAATGAAAACTCTCACAATGCTCTATAAATGAATGCCTGGTATGAGCTGACTCTTTATACTACTCCATTTGCACTGCTGTTGTTGTTGTCAAGTGCCAACGAGTGGATTCCGACCCACAGCGACCCTGTATAGGGTTTCCGAGGAGCAGCTGATGAGCTTGAACCACTGACCTTACAGTTCAAACAGCGTTGCAGTCTGGCGCATTAACCCACAGCGCCACACCAGGACTCCTTGAACTGGGCGCCTCTTAAATCCTCCAATCCAAGTCTTTTTCCCACATCAGACTCAACACCAGCTCTTACTTCTTCTTACCCTCAGTTCAAACATCAGGATCCATGCCAAAGCAGCACTCTTACTCCTGAATCACCATCTACCCTAGCAATGCCCAGCTTGTCTTCTTTGTACTTATTATTATCCCGAATTACACGAATTTAATAAGGTTATTGTTTATATCCATTTTTATGAAGGCAGGATGGTGTTAATCACTGTCTCCAAAGAGTTCTAGAAAGAGTGACTTGCACATAACAGGCTCTCAATAAGCACTTGGAAAACAAAAGAAAAAACCCAAGAAAGTTTTACTCTAATTTTAAAGCTGTACATGAAACAAGTGAGGTAAAATGAATACACATGCTACTGGACAAGGAAGGAAATAGTTTACTGCTAGCATGTATAAACAATTACGCTGCTCTTCACGGGGTTCTATCGTCACCAACGGTCACGAGTGGATTTCTCAAAGTTTGTGGATGCACGTCACGTACAAGTTACATTTTAGCCCAAATGCATGGCATTGCAAACAATTAGTTAGAAACTCAATGATTTTAGAGGCTCCAAAACAACCAAAAATGTCCACAAAAAGTAATAAAGGATACTCAGAAAGCACCTGCCACTTTATTTTCAAAACAAAAAACTATGAACCTGGCCTCTATCTGTCAATGAGTAGATTAACACTAATAAAGCTTGAACCGCTTTTGTAGTAGGTCCTTCTAATACAAAAGGTAGGTTAGACAGGACTTCTAAACTTCTACTTATTACCTACAACACTGACGGAGCTGCCTCTTTTAGAGTAATGATGTAATTAAATCAAAGACTAATACAATGTGTATCACACTGTAACAGCCTCATTTGACTCCTGAAAGACTGTAAGTTTTGACCAAGAGGGAAGAAAAAGTATTAGTTGCTACTGACCTAGTAGTAGAAAAGCTTAGAATCTTTATTCAAATGTCATTCAATCACAAAATTGAGGATGACATACAGAAATTTATGTAATGAACATAAAACTTAATAATGTTTAAGCATTTTATACTGCTAAAATTAAAACTTCTCGATTGTTCCAGAAAATTATCTGTATAATAAGTAAGTCTGAATGAGTTAAGGTATAAAAACAGCTGTCATATGGTATCACTATTTACAGATAACTTACAAGTAACAAACGTTCGGTAACTTGCCTTCAGATTCCTTTAAGCAATTATCAGTACTATGACCATTAAACCATGTGATTTACCAACACTCACCTTGGTATGGTAACACACTTAGTATTACAATTTTGAGTGGTGATGGCTTTTTCAAGCTCATCTAATCGTCCTGTTTTCTTTAGCTTCTTCACCAAACTCTTAACGGCTTTCTCACACCACTTCTCTTCCTGTCCGTTCTGCTCTCCCCCACCGGCTCCTCCAGACCCACCAGCTGATTTCTTCCATCCCAGCAGTCTCTTGACAACTGGTGGAGTGAATGGCAAGATGGACGACATGCTCGTACCAAAGGCAGCAGTCCACACACAGAAAGTGTCCTTCTCTAGTTACCCTAGAAAAGATGTGGAAAGAATAATTTAGAGATTTAACTATAAAACCAAGTGATATTGAGAATATATTACAAAAAACAAACTGCAGAACCAGGTTGTCCCAGTTGCTATTATTAAGTGCTGACAAGTCAATTCCCATTCACAGCGACCCTGTATAGGGTTTCCAAGGCTGTAAATCTTTGTGGGAGCAAAATGTGTCATCTTTCTCCCATGAGGCTGCTGGTAGACTCGAACAGTCAACATTGTGGTTCACAATACAGACAAAACCAGATAAAAATTAAAAATTAAATTATAGACAGCACACTACAAAGCCAAAGAGGATTTTCTTTACCACATTCAGAATTTGTCTTCTCATACCTAAGGAGATGGTCTTTACCAATTTATCTAAATGTCAGAAACAAACCTCTCTCTAAAAACCAGACAATATGGGAAGAACACAAGTCTGTGGGCAAATGTAATAATTTTTCATGTAAAAAAATTTAAACACTCATAACTTTATAGAATGTCATCACTACTGAATACTACAACTTTATTAATAACATCCACAACTAAAATAACTCTTTATGTATTTTCAACAAGAAGGCTGCAGTTTTTCTCACCTTTTAAATTCTACTCTCCACAATCCACAAACTTTTTGAAGTCTCCTTGTATATATACATGTGTAAATATACATATAATTTACATAACAACCCTTCCAAATAAATTTTTGTAACTGATTTAATACTACTGTCAGAAAGGAAATTCTTATGGTGACGAGAAGAGAAATGAGCTACGTGTGAAGTAAACCCTAAGAATAAAATACAGGTAACAAGAACCAGCGGAGAGGAGATCTGGTTCTCTTTCACCATCCCTTGAGAGATCTTTTAATTAAGTCACTTTATAAAACTATAATCTTTATCTAACAATGTACACAGTGAAGATATTCAAATAAACCTTCTTTTCCCAAACTCAGGTGTGAATCTTTTACAATTTTTAATCAATTGACAAGACTTGACTATGACTCAGAGGAACCCTATAAAACAGAGTAGAACTGCTTCATAAGGTTTCCAATGCACTTAATAATAACAACAACAACAGTCTTTACAGAAGCAGACTGTCATGTCTTATTCCTGACAGAGACGCTGGGGGGCAGGGGGAGGGAATTAAATCAACAACCTTTTACTTAGCAACACAAAACTGAGTCACTATACCACCAGACCCAAAATGATAGTCTAAGACTCAAGTTTAGGTATCATATTCTGTATAAGATGAAGATTTAGTGCCCTTAGACCACCTCACACACCTCTTTCTTCCAACATCAAAAAAATGATATTCCAGTTGTAATAACTGTGCATGAAATAATGCAATTGATAATAGTAAGCCATTATATAATAGTTTGTACAACTTTTTATTCTTTAAAAGTTCATTTTATTTTTCATTTGCTTTGTTTTCTAGGCATCTATCACAAATTCTTCCCATACATTCCAACTCTCTAGTTGCCCATCAATGACATTACTCTCAAATTCGTTCCATTTTATTCCTGACCTCTCCCATCCCAAAGGCCACATCCTTCCAATCCAACCTGGACTGCAGATCCTCTGGCCTGCTGCCTGTAGAGTCACAGGAGAGAACGTTCTTCATTTCTGGTTGGCCTGAGTCCCCTCAATGCCATGGCTGCTTCTGTATTGTTCCAGTGGAGTCTAAAATTCTTAAGAAATGCATGAAGTCTAAAGGCCTTTGGTCTGGGAGAGACTGCAGGCAGCAGACAGAGCATTAACTCCATCTTGAGCCTAGACAGTAAGTAAAGACGCCATCTTGAGCACTTTCCACACTGACAGGAAAGCTGCCAGAGTCCAGGAAAGGCAGTTTTGCCCTCAGGCAGAGAGAATGTGAAAGTGGTCTAGGCCACTCCCCTAGCCAAACCAGGGAGACGTGATTGGCTGTCCCCTTAAGGGAAGTTGGGGTGTAGGGGGTCACATGATTATAAGTCATACCCCTGAGGGCCTCAGGATCAAACTTGTAGGGTCTTCTAATTGATAATAGTCCCCTTCCCACGTCTGTAGGGCATCTGCTGCCACTCTTGGTTCTGTGACGAAATTCCTTTTGCCTCAGTGCCCAATAAATCCCCTGTGCGGAGAATAATCATTTAACCAGTTGGGGTCTCCCTTATGTGGACGATCTGTTTTATTTCTGTCTGGTTTAAGATTAATGGTCTCCTGGTGTACAGCTGTAGGATAAGCACTGGACTGCAAATCACAAGGTCAGCAGTTGAGACCCATAAGCGGCTCCTCGGAAATGCTATCCAGGGTCAATATGAAAGGGAATAACTCGGGGGTACGGAACAATAACACGATGAATATTGGGATCGTTTTAAAACAAGTATTTGAATTTGGGGAATTTGGAGGCATTGTAGGATAAGCACTGGACTGCTAACTATACAGTGGTATTATGTTGCTAAGTACCATGGAGTCAATTTGGACTCATAGTGAGCCTGTAAACTGTTTCCAAAGAGTTTGCTGAGTTTTTAACCACTGACCGACCTTGTGGTTTAAACCAACTTTGCAGGACCGACCTTGTGGTTTAAACCAACTTTGCAGTCCAGTGCTTTATCCCAGAGCGCCACCCCAGAATTCAAACCATAAGACGCAGTTCAAATCTACCAGTTCACTGGCAGGGAAAAAAATGAGGATTTCTCCTCCTGTAAAGATTTACAGCCTCAGACACCATCTAAAGAGTGCCTATGAGTTGGAATGGACTCAATGGTAGGGGGTGTGAGTCACAATAGGAAGATGTATGGGAATGAAACTTGGAGACAACGTGTAAGACTTGACGTGACAGACTTAGTATAGCAGACTGTTGGCAATCATCCTCAGA